TTATATGTATATAAATAAATAAATAAATATATATGGGTATATATATATGTGTATGTGTGTGTGTGTATGTGTACGTGGATGTACTTGTGTGTGTGTGTGTGTGTGTTTGTGTGTGTGTCTGTGTGCGTGTGTATTTATATCGTCACGCTCCTAAGATAATTGCCTAACTCATATTTTTTTCTCAAATTTGGATTTTTGCCTAAACCAGCTTCTTCACACATGTCACTAGAATGAGATATCAATAGGTATTCAACAGAATGCATGTGTCCTATCTCAAATAAACTGTAGTATTTTATCAAAAATCTGTATAAATTTGATCTCTCTCTCTCTCTCTCTCTCTCTCTCTCTCTCTCTCTCTCTCTCTCTATATATATAATTATATAATATATATATAATATATATATATATATATATATATATATATATATATTAATAATATATATATATTATATGTAATATATGTATATACATATACATATATGTGAGTGCATATATACCGATTAACTGTCTAAATTATTTATTTGAACTTAAACCGCAATTCGATTTGCCACATGATGTTATCATCATTTATGACGACATTTATGAAAAAAATAGATGGAAAACTTTCTAACATGTTCTGTATTAGATTCTAATGTTAATCGCTTAGAAGCAAATGCATCTTATTACATATATAATATATATACATATATATATATATATATATATATATATATATATATATATATATATATATATATATATATATATATATATATATATATATATATATATAATATATATATATATATATATATATATATATATATATATATATTATATATATATATATATATATATATATATATATATATATATATATATATGCGTGTACGTGTGTGTATATATACATATATACATACACAGACACACAGACACACACACACACACACAAAACTTGTGCGTGTGCGAGTACCAACAACATTTAGATAAATAAAACGAACGCTGTACGTGATAATCGTAAAATTCAAACCGGTTACGAACGTTCGCAAGAATATTTTCGCGTCGCGCCATAGCCAGTGTATTCGCCACGAATTCCGCTGGCAACGGGGGACGAGGCGGGACTGCAGCTCGGGACACGCTTCTCCATCAGTGTCGCCAAAACTTCAAGGGTGTGTAGGCTCCTCATCAAAGGGTAGTATGTCAGTGTCCGACGCAAACGGAGCGACAATGGGAATGCTGAGATCTTGGTTCGTTTGTAGTGTCACCTTTGTAGTGTCACCTTGAATTTTCCTTCCCCGTGAGCTCACTACTCATGTCAATTTCTTGGTACAGAAAATTTAAATGTTTACCTCTGTCCTGGGATACCTGTTGGCGATTTTTTTTTTTTTTTTTTTTTTGGTCTTTTTTAAAAATAAATTCAGTGCACTGTGAAGTCGATCAGATAGCCTATGTGATGAACACGTTTATATTTCTTTTAGAATCAAGTTAAATCAAGGTAGTTTGTTTGTTTATTTGTTTAAGCTTTTTCGCGTGGTATTATGATTTTTATTGTTTAGGGAATGAGAAAGAGATGCAATTATATAACAAACTGAATTCTAAATTGAATTTGATATTGAGGTAAAAATTTAAAAACCGATAGTTGCACTGCAAACATTAAGGCATTTAGATGTTATCATTGACAAGAATATGGATTGACATGTTTATCACTTATTCTCTGTTAAACATGTGCTCCTTCCGAAGACGAGAGTGACAGGGGAACGACTAAATATCCTGTTTATATTTGACTCTCGAATGAAGGAAAACTTTCTGAGAGCGTCTGGTACCGAGCCTCCTGTGGCACGGTTGACGCTGACCCCTGGACCCCAGAGCACCCCAGAGCCCCGCCCACTCTACAGGTACGGCTGACTAATTAGGACCCGTATGTACCCGTCTCACCATATGGCGAGGAGAGGGTATACACTAGGCGAGTATACCTTACGCGGTGTGTTTGGCCGTGTTGGCTAATATTGACCTACTCAACACGGGGAGGTGGACTCTCCGGCGCAGTGCGGGCTCGAGGGGACGCTCTGCTCGGTGTTAGCTCTGTCTGCATGAAAGGTACCGCCGGGGTCGTGGGTTTGTGTGCTTATGCGAGTGTGGATGTGTGTGTCTTCTGTACGGGCGCTGGTGTGTGTGTCTTCTGTACGGGCGCTGGTGTGTGCGTGTTACTGTAAGGGGTGTTAAGCGGGGAGAGAGAGGGTGAATGTGCGTCTATAGTACTGGTATGCACTCGTTCGTTAGCATTTCATTCGCACGAACCGAACGACAAAGGCAGGTTAGGAAGATCGAATTAGAACCACATACAAAGCGGAGTAGGGACACGCGGGCTGAAAGGAAAGCTACGTCACTGGAAAGGCACCTCCAGCAGAGGAGGGAAGGACACGAGGGGGGGCGGCGGCGCAGAGGGAGGAAGGGAGGACGGGAAGGGGGGTGGGGGTGAGCGTCGCAGGCTGGGCACGTCCCGAAGCGGCACAGGGGTCGCAGGAACGCCACAGCCGCCAGCCAGTCCGCCCGGCCCGGCTGACAGGTGACCACGGCTTCGGTGCCCCACGTCCTCGCAGCCAGCACGTCGAGTGAGCGGCCACGTGGCCCACGCCTCCCGACTGTTCCACTGCGGCGTGTTACCCAGATTGCGTAACTCCGCCTCGCCCGCTCCGCCCGACGCGTGTGCCACCGTGCGGCCATCACGTGCCTGGGCCTCCACGTGCAGCGGCGGCCACCGCGTCACCTCCTCAAGTGCCAGTATCTTGCGAACGCCACTTCCCATTAGCTCTCGATCGGCGCCTCCGCCGACGCTGGAGTATGCGGGAGACCGCCCGCTCAGGGATCTCAGGAGCTTCAGTTACGCCGTCTGTTGTGAATCACGATGCCGCGGACGCTCACCTGAGAAGCTTTCGGTCCTTCGCTCAGCATGCCGTCCCTCGACTTCCTGCCTTGCTGCGATGAATGCTGCGGCGACGATGAGGCGCCCGTGGAGTGCGACGCCGCGTGCCCTTCCAAATCGCGCCACAGCATCCAACTGCCGCGGAGCTTCGCTTCCCTGAACGCCCTGGCACAGACTCTGCCTCCTCCCGGGCCTTCTCCTGCGTCAGGCAACGCAGTCCCTCGTGCCAGCGTGACCGTGGGCGTGATGGTGGGCGCCATGGCCGTGGTCGAGGGCGGGCGCGTGTGTCGACGGACGAAGCGCGAGGGCGGGAGATCGTACGTGTGTCGCGTGTGTGAGCGGAGATTCCCGCGGGCGTACCTCCTGCTGGTGCACGAGAGAACCCACACGCCCCTCACCTGTCCCGTCTGCGGCAGGACCTTCAGGCGCTCGGAGCACCTCAGGATGCACAGGTGAGTCACGGGACGATCTCTTAATTACCATCTAAGAACACGTCACAGCAGGTATCGCCGAGGAGCTGCAACGGTAAGGCTCGGTTAGTGATGCTCTTTATATCTTGCCTTCTTAATGATACATCAACACCCACGTGAAAATTGATGCCATCTCAAGACAGGCACAACACACACGCAAGCCAGTGACATTTATTTGGGGGACAATATGAAGGGGATTACAACCACCTCTAACGAATCAGCCTCCTTCGAAGATTCATTCATTCCGAAGAATAGTTTGCCTGCTTATTCTGCGCGGTGAATTTCCTTCCTAAAAAGTGAAAGGAAAAATATCCGTGGACTAGCAGATATAAAAATGTATTGCTTGCTAAATGTGCATGTGTGTTGGAGTGCGTGTTTGTGTATATATAAGGAATGTGTGTGTGTGTGTGTGTGTGTGTGTGTGTGTGTGTGTGTGTGTGTGTGTGTGTGTGTGTGTGCGTGTGTGTGTGTGTGTTTGCGTGTGTGTGACAGAGAGAGTGTGCGTCTGTGTGTTCTTGTTTATGTACGTGCACGCATACGTTTATTTTATGAGCGAATACCCGAGGATTCGATTTTATAGACATCATCCTAACACTTCCATTTCATTTCTAACCCCCTACTCTCCCTTTCCAGAGAGACACACGGCGGGAGCAAGAGGACCACATAGGCCAAAACGACGTGCCTCCGTGTCTGCGTGCCTACCTGCCGCCCACAGAGCCGCCCAAGTTAAGCACTCGCTGCTGCCCATAAGCCGCCCCCGCCCCGTCTCCCCAGGCAGCGGGGATACACACTCGCTCGCCCTCCGCCGCCTAAGCTCAGCCATAGAGGATTTCCATAATCTACTCACGTCTCGGCCGACTCAACCCCTGACCCCCCCCTCCTTGAACCCTCCCTGAACCCCACCCTCCACAAACCACCGCCTCAACCCTCTCAACCCCCCTGAACCCCACCCGCAACCCACCCTCAACCCTCTCAACCCCTGAACCCCCTGAACCCCCCCCCGCAAACCCACCGCCTCAACCCCTGAACCCAACCCCCCTCCTTGAACCCTCCCTGAACCCACCCCGCAAAACCCACCGCCTCAACCCTCTCAACCCCTGAACCCCCCCCCCCTCCTTGAACCCTCCCTGAACCCCACCGCCTCAACCCTCAACCCCTGAACCCTCCCCCCCTTGAACTCCCTGAACCCACCCCCTGAACCCTCACCCCCCACAAACCCACCGGCGCACTCGCTAAATTTCTCCGACCGACAAGCCGCTCCTTCCCGTTGGGTCCTCGACGCGAGCGGTGTCAAAGGCGTAATGCGATTTATAACGTCTTGGCAACCCACTTATCTTCGTCGCTTAGAGCTCAGGATGCAAGTGTGCGTGAGTTATGGGGAAGTGCCCACCGCGATGCCAGCCCGTGGAGGGTGTATTTATCACACCTCTTTGGAAAATGGAAAAAAAAATGTTTTTCTCTTGAACAAATGGAAAAAAAAATGTTTTTCTCTTGTACATAACTACGTAAATATACGAATGAAAAAAAAAATGTGTTCGTCGTCGACATCTTCAATTCCCTCGCGACAGAATTGCTTAGTAACCATGTCCTTTTTTTTTCCTTTTTAAAACCTCCTCCTCTACATAATC